AGCAATAGGAGAACGTTCCTGAGGTCTAATGATAGGGGCTATGGGTGCTTGGGGGGCTGGCTGGATGAATATGCGTGACTGTAGCTCGACATGAACTGCCTCATTCTGAATCGGTTGAACAAAGCCGTTGGCTCTCGAATTTCGAGAACCAGAGTCCTGAAAAGCATCCGGAGCTGCAGAGGTCATGTGCGGTTTGACACTGGGAGGGATAAACTGCTGAGAACGACGAGCCCGAAGAGCACCGGGTTGAACGATGGGCAAAGCGCCATTATTAGGAGCACGAGCATTAGATTGTCGAAATTGAGCCTGGTTCTTTGATACTTCGTGAGATCCAGGACGAGCTGCCCCGAAACTAAAGTTGCGTGCCACTTCGGAAACCGCGTCGTCGTACCCAGTATCATGATTTTGAGCTAGATTTGCTTGAAACTTGGAAGAAAACTGCATGTTTGAGGTGGGCTTGGCTTCACCGGATTGACGACGGTGTTCTGTAGCCCTGTTCACGCCTCCGTTGAGGGCTTTGTTCAGGCCGGGAAAGTTGAGCTGAAGACTCCCAGGGGTCCCAAGAGGTGCATCGTTTGCTTCCATTCTAGACAGTTCCGAGCCCTAGGAAGGGTCGGCATTCGCTCGTGTTTGTACGACTTGGGCGCGAAGGCAAAGCATTTAGTGGCAACAAACGGACGGACCTTGCGATCTTTAGAAGACGTGTCTTACGCGACTTTTGGCGAAAATTAAAGGTAGAAGCAACAAAAGGACGGATATAGTCAGGTCGAAGCCTGGGATCAACTCCGCCCAATCGGCGCCGGTGGTTCTTTGGAATAGGGATTATATTTGTATACAAAAAATAAAGAAATCTAGATCCACACGCGAAGAAATACTAGTACACGTCGGTAATATAACGGTATCAAGAATGATAGGGAACCAATGTCAGGGATGAGACTGTCGAAAACGCGTGATCATCAGAATGAGGCTCTAAAATGACCGCCATATGCCTGTTGTGAGTTGGCGGATTTCGGGTCAGAGGAGCCGTCAAGGACGACCATGGAGACATCGCTTCCCGCGGCAGTCGAGGAAGGTACCTCGAACCGAACGCTGGATGCCATTACAGGAAACATGGTGAGTTTGTGGCCGAAATGAGCTCCATCGAAGAGGCCGTGGACATCACCGACTGGGGGGCAGCCGTTGAACATGGCGTTCGAAACAAAGTGCTCGCCAGACCCAAGGTCGACAATAGATGGTCCCGACTCGCCCTCTGTGCCCACAAATGGATATAAGGATGTAGTTAACGAGGCATCAGGTGCGGGTCCTAGAGGATATTCCAAGGACATGGCTTGCGAGTTGGCTGCTTCCGACTTCCTGCGCTCCGATAGCGCTCTACGAAGGCTTTCAGTGAGATGAGGGACCATTTCGTGTACTCGGCGTCTCAACTCCAAGACGTGGGGCTGTGAAATTTAAAAAAAAAATCAGAGGAAGGTACCTGGAGAATAGTCTGAAGAGCTTACTATTAGCTTTGCAATGCGGTTGGTGTCATCAGCGTGATCCATCACCAACTTGCAACCCATTTCGAATTCTACATATACCGAACCAACGACAGCCTCATTCGAGTAGTTGCGTAGGAAGACGTCTAGGTATGACTGATTCGGAAATGTTAGTACGGGTCTTGCTGGACACCAGAACAAGTCACCCACCAGGCAAGCAATGGCAGCTTCCCAGGGACAGCTCAGACGCGGCAATAATCGGGCACAATCCGTTGAAATTGTTCGCAGGCGCTTGAGAAGACTCATCGCGCTATCAATACTGGAGAGGCAATGTCAGTATGACAGAGACAGCAACGCCTTTATGCTTACACCGTCTGAACCGAGTAGGCTGCATGACTCTTGAAAGGATCATCTGGATACTCTTTCAATGCCCGCAGGAATTCGGCCTTGTGTAGCTTCATGAGAGCTGGTAGGAACGTCAGCAATGAAAGACGACAACAAAGCACGTCCACCAACCTAGTTCTTGCATCATGAACACTTGTTGAGATTGCAATAAAACTTCGATGGGGGAAGTGGCAAAGTCGATGAATTGAAGCTTTGCCGGAAAAGCGCAATGACGGACGAGCTTGTCGGCACCGAGTATAGTGCTATAGGTCGGTGGTATTGTCGCGGATATGACTTCGTTGACGATTGGCATTATACCTTCTCGGCAAAAGTCATGCTTCCAGCGGAAGACTAGACAAACGTAAGCTCGGTTGGCCAAGACCTAGGACGGTACGTACAAGCAGGGTCGTTTCCAAGCGTCTCCTGATTATCATAAGGCATTTCCGTGGAGAAGAATATGCCCTGTACCGACGGTGGTCTCTCAATGATCATGCACTACAGCCAGTCAGCGAGGTTCCTTACTAATGAAGTACACATACAATCCAAATTTCGATGGCAATCAGCTCATGGAACACCCGTCGACGCCTTTGGCACTCTTCATCATCCAAATCGAGCAGCTTTGGGTCGTGATCTATTCTTTAGTCAGTACACAACTTGACGATTACCAATCGACATACGGAGTCCAATCTGGATGACAAAAAATGAGTCTAATGCGGTGTAAAAGGAGTCAAAGTACTCACACTTTGTGCCACTCGGACCGCTACCCCGATATAATTCCATGCTCGCTGAATCTGATCGCTTTCGGAGGCGAGGTAGAGGTAGCAACACTGTAAAACCATGGCTTCGATTGTAGACACGCTGGCGTCTCCTAACACATCGTCCAGACGAAGAGCAGCCATGGACATGTCGTGAAATTGTGCAGACATATGCCATACATCTTGAAGACACGTTTGTTGCTGGAGCAATTCCCCGGCTGTGGCCAGGGAAAACACCGAGCAAAGAGCGCTTATCTCTGAGTTTGAAGCTGTGCATGGTACGGAATATGCGCGCTTGAAGAGGACATTGAAGAGATGGCTCCGTGAGATAGGCTGCACGCTAGGAGAAATTAGGAGAAATTAGCCCCACATGACTAAGCGCTCAAACCAAAATCCAAACACTAACAGCCAACCATATGTGACGTAAAACTGGTCAAGAAGAAGTCTAGCCGTATTTTCGTCGGGTAACATGCCCAGAATCTGTTGTCTTTGGGCAGCTTCGGCACCCATATCCATCTGAAACGGAACGAGTCAGGATTGGTCGGCCCTGGCTTATGCAAGAAGGTGAGGCAAAAAAAAAACCGAGCGGCGACTGACGTGTATTCTGTTTCCTACGAGTGCATTGAATTCTGGCATGGAAGGCTCGAGAATTGATCCGTACATTCCGGAGGGACTCGACGGCGATCCACTTCCTGATTGTGAAGCATGTCCTTGGCTCAACCGAAGGGCCTCTTCAAGCTGGCGGATACGAGCGGCCATGGTCTGTATGTTTCGGTTCAAGGTTTCCACTTCAACCCCAGGATTCCTAGCAATGACATGAGCACGGGGTTGGGATCCGAGAAAAGGGTTTTGGCTTTTTTGCATGACAAAGAACTCACCTGCTGCCTCGAGCGCGTAACCCAGACGGACAAATGTTTTCACATCCTCTACGAACGCACGGTGCGCAGGGAACTGCTCTGTCACATTTGGTCTTGAGCCTAAAAGGTGGTCGTGTTCAGTTTGGAGAGAAACGTTGTGCTTTGCGGAGACAGACCTGCGACATTCCATGCATGCTCCTCTGACAAATGGTGATGTGTTGGGGGTGGAGGACATTTTGGATATGGAGCAGGAGGGAGGGGGGAAAGGGTTTAAATAGAGAATGGCGGGTAGTAGGTACCAGGCCGAAACAAGTGTTTCCATTGACTCTTTCCATGCTTAGTAGCGCGTCAATACAAGGTACCTTGGGCCTCAGAGGACAGGATGAACCGGTGCAGCTCACGGCGAGCGCACGCCGAATTGAATGAGTTGGCTTCGAATTAAAGAAGCGCCGGGGAAAGGAATTGTTTGATGTAAATCCGGCTTCCAACTCGAAGTTCATGTCTAATTTTGCGACAATGCGCGCGCACCTCCACAGCTACGAAAAGACTAGTGTCCGAAAGCGGAGATGGGGTGGCAGGGTCAGTGCAGCAAGAAAGGGACCCGGTGCTAGCAAGCACCGAGAGATCGTGGTCAGAACGTGGTCTTAATGCCTTAGCCCTCGGGGAAAGGCTATATGCCACGCGCTTCAGAGTGTTATCTTCCGGGGGGAGACGTCGGAGACCATGTGGAACAAACTTGCAGTGTGTTTCGGGGGATATGAACTCCGACGGAGATCTGATGGTTCCTTGGAGTTGCGGGCAGTGTGCGTCGTCGGGTACAGAATTTGACAAGAGGGGCCGGGTTCTCGGCAGCAACCTTTGTCATGTCCGCACAAGATCGGTGCTGTAGAGACACAAGGGAGACAGGGGACGACGGCCAGTTGTCGTGCACAGCTGGCTGGCAAGAGCCAGCGCCGCTTTTTTTGATGCCAATATACGGTCGTCAACATACCAAAAGGAGGCTAGGAAGCAAGTAACGGCGACTTTTATCCACGAGACGTGCTCGAGACGTGTTCGAGATTGTGACTTAATCCAACGTGGCTGCACAGACTTCGGCTTGCTGAGTGATGGTGCGTTTCTAACGGAGAACCGGAGGAGCGAGGATGGTCAAGTTTGGGGGAAGGTAAGCATACTAACGCGAGATGGTACGTTATATACGGTTGTTAAATGCGACCCTCATGGTGTCGGTCCCGAGCCCCTCTCACGCCTGCTATTAGACCGCCGGCGTCATGTGGAACCTTGTTAAATGAACGGGCAGCAAACGCAGCAAACGAGGTTTGCAGAATAAGAATAACAAATATATGGATGAATAAAAAAAATAGTCGACTTGTTCCGGGCTCGAACTCGGGACGCCGACAAAAACGAGTACTGAACCCATGTTTGCTGCAGAATACGAATGTATATACCAATCTAAAAAGGAATTATTGGGAGGGTTGGCCTCGCGCTGGAGCTGGGAGCGTCACCTCCACGCCCCCACCAGCAAAAACAAGGGGTCTACCTGGGAATTGAACCCAGGACCTCACCCAGATGGAGAAATCCCTAAGGGTGAATCATACCACTAGACCAGCAGACCATCACATACAGAGTCTTCGACGCTGTGTCTTATCACCCCCCTCCAGCCAGACCTCCCTCCCCCAGTGAGCCCAGTTCTGTTTCTGAAACCACGCGA